TTCCTAATTTATTTACTTTTTTACGGGTACCCGGCCCGGAAAAATGGAACCGGGTTTCGAAATCGACGGGCGGGTACCCGGGTACCCGGCACAGGCCTATATCATGTAGCATTTTGCCACCTAATAGCATTTTACCTACAATTATGGCAGAATTCCAAACCCGAGAGGAGAATCTTTTCCAAGACCAATTTTTAAATTTTGTTTGTATTCTACAGGGTTTCTCTTGAAGATCTGTATAATGGGAAAACCTCAAAGTTGCAATTAAGTAAGAATGTCGTCTGTACTGGCTGTAAAGGGTAAGTCATGAAGTTGATGGAAACTCTCTGACCACCATGGTGCGCCATTGATTGAATTTATATCCATCTGTGTCTGGAAGCCTAAATGGCCTTTTACATGCTGACACAGTTAAACGTTACACTCGAGTTGGGATATACCAAAATACACCTTCATAGTCTTGCCACCATTGGATTCCAGTGGTGTGTAGAGATCCTTGACATTAACATGATCATGAGATGGTGTCATATACTTGTCCTTATGACTGTGATAGAGTGAGGTAGTGTGGTGTTATATGGTGGAATAAAGTGATTTCAAGCATTGCTGGAATAATGTGCATTGTTTTACCTCAAAACAAAGATTCTTGATCCGTCACTGTATTCAGGTACATGTATATGTACATAGATGTGTTTGCAAACGTCCATAAATGCTACCTACTGAAACCGATGTCTTTCCTCACCAGTGCATAGGGTGCAAAGATATTTTGGAATCTTAGCATTATTGCATTATCCCATGAAAGCATATGATCCATGGTAATCATTTGTCCTCTTCAGACTTGGTGGTAAGCCAGGAGCCATGCAGCAATGCCATACCTGTCATGGTCGCGGCATCAAGGTCACAATACGTCAGATTGGCCCAGGGATGGTGCAGCAGATGCAGTCCTCCTGTCCTGATTGCCGAGGGGAAGGTAAGGCATAAACTCTGTATTGCTGTCTGTTGACTGAGTATTCAGTTGCAGTCTACTCTTGGTAATACAAGCTCAGATAGGACGAGACTCCAGTTTAGACGAACACATTTTGCCAGTCCTGACCAATGTGTATATTCCTATGAGGGAAGAGAATCTTTGATACGAGCATGGGTGATGCGGGATTTCGGTTAAGATAAGTGCGTTTTCTGGTCGGGATCATCCTTATCCAGAAAGTTTAATTGAAACATTGTGCAGTTAAGCAAGTTTTTGTCGCGGTTAATTGTAAGTGTATTTGTGGCACAAGGATTATACATGTACATAGTCTTAAGTTACACAAAAGTAGATTCACCATGCATAGGTCATTGAAGCCACCAGCGGCTATCCTACCATGCTGAATACAAAGGAGCACAGTGGCATATTGCTCATCGTTGTTAAACAAATCATTCATGGCAGTAATAGTTACAATGGTATGTGAGCCAACAATCACCTTTGTATTTGGCACAGTAAGATGGCCGCCAGTGGCTTCAGTCGATTCAAGAGCATTGCGAGTCCAGACTTTTACATATGACGTCCATCTACACACATGCTGCAGGGCATCTTTGTCTTTATGCATCTCAAGTTGGTCAACTCATTTAAGGATCCACACAAGCATACAAATGGGCACTGCCGTTAGCAAGTACACACACTCTTGAGGTCTGGACCAGTCAGACTATCCACCCTGAGTAAAAGCACCCTCTCATTTTGTTGCGACTGTAACACGTGGATTTCATGGTCATTTGTAACCCAGCGAAGTGCAGTTCCAACCAAAGGAGCCTCCAATGCTAGGATAATTGGCCCCTCTCTTGGTCCAGCTCGGGCCACATAGGGAAAGTGCACTCCACATCGCACACAAAACTGGTGCCTTTTCAAACACTTTGAAGGTGTTACCTTTTCTTGCATGCATACATGATACCAACTCATATCTCATTCAGTGCACTGTGAACATGGCTGTTTTAGAAACCCCCTCTCTTAGTGGTGCTGATAGTTTGATTTTTGAATTGTATTCATTTTTTGTACAGGTGAACGAATCAATGAAAGGGATCGGTGCAAGAAGTGTAATGGAGCCAAAGTCTGTAAAGAGACTAAGATTCTGGAGGTGCACATTGATAAAGGCATGAGGGAAGGCCAAAAGATCACATTCCATGGTGAAGGTGATCAGCAGGTTAGTCATGGAGCGGGGTTGTCTTGCTAGGAATGAAGGAGGGACGCTGGGCCATTGCATACCTCACTGTACTATTGCAGTGCAAAGATTGTAACAGTGCGTCATCTTGGATGACTTGCCTTCTTTCCTTGCAGCCGGGGATCGAGTCGGGCGATGTCATCATCGTTCTGGTGGAGAAGGAGCATGACACCTTCAAGCGTATCGGCCACGATCTATACTTAGAGCAAGATGTAACCATCACCCAGGCACTGTGCGGTTTCCAGATTACCATGAAACATCTAGATAGTCGTCAGCTGGTCATTACTAACCCACCGGGCAACATCATTCAACCAGGTAGGACCATTGTCAAACTGCTATTCCTCATGGAAGCGGCTGTTTCAGAAGGCATTTAATGATATTTAATTCAGTAACAATAAATGTACACAGGATCTTCTCACAGCTATCCCAAATGAAGCGAGCACTTTCTTCCAAGAAAAACCCTTCAAGCTCCATCGCAGCTCATCAGGATTTTGCTGTAGTCAAGAGCAAAGCCACTTTTATCTCGTGCAGTTCAATGCCTCTTGAAAGTCTGTAGAGTGTGCCATTTCCCTACTGTATTTTTTAGGATTGCGAAGGATCAGATAATTTTTCTGGCATAATGCCAAGGGAGACAGATTTATTGTGTAGTACTTATGCTATACTGTGCCTCCCATCCCAACCCATTTACCATGAGGTTGCTTCAGACAGTGTTGGTAAAAACCTGCGGACCGATCATTAACCACTTTGCGCCAGGCCCATTTATCCCTGTTGATTCTGCTGGGCCAGGTGATTTTTCATATTTTTCTGTTTTCAAAATTCTTTAAAAATTCATAACCTCATTTACTGGACACTTACACCCACAAGAATGACTGTTTGGTGGCTACTCGAATCTGACAGACAACATCTGTTGACGCCCGAGTATTTCAGCCAGGGGCGCTGCCTTGTAAAAAGAGCCTTGATTGTGCAGTGTTATGTAATTTTCTTTTGTTCCTGAAACTGGCGCAGTGCGCTGCTGACGTCTTTTCAATAGGTGCCAGATTAGCATGCAGCGGTATTGTATCGCTCATCACTGGAGCGCTTTTGTCCCCGGTGGTAATCCGCTCGCGCTGAATGCCACAAACAGTGGTATAATCTTTTAAAACAATGACGGATTTCCTCCACAATTGACAACTGACAAAATGTTGGAAATTCCCAGCAGCTTGGTCTTTTGTTCCGAGTACGGTCACAAGGCCCAGCTCTTTTGTCCAATTTCGGGCAGCTCGGTATTGTGTGTAAAGAAAATCAACCCGAAACTGGGCTCCCCGGCGCGAAGTGGTTAAGCACTGCATATTGTGCAAATGGGTATTTAACATGCTCCCAACTCCAATGCTATACTGCACGTCCTAGTTTCACGGGCCACGTGTGTACACTTCAGACGGTCTTGCACCCAAATCGGATTTAAATCACAAGTGTGATAGGTTAGTACACCATGTGGCCAGACTCGGTGGATCAGTCCATTACTTAAGCCAGCCACTGGTGGCAGAAGGCTTCAGCCAGAGAAAAGATTCAGGTAAAAAGCTTAGGGTGTGCGTGAAATATGCACTGTACAGTGTACTTGTGCTCACAACAGCATTTTTTTCTGCTGAAAGTGTCAGCTGAAAACAATTTCTTTGGGGGAGGCAAGGGGTCGAGCTAAACTCGGTCCCCTCACCAGCCATACACATGCCCATTAACTTGAGTAACAGAGGAAAGGATGTGATGTGATGTTTGCTGGGCCTTCCCCTTAGGGTGTAAGCGTGTGGTGGAGAATGAGGGAATGCCACACCACAGGAATCCATTCACCAAGGGAAACCTGATCATGAAATTCAGCGTTGTCTTCCCTGATAACAACTTTGCTACCCCTGACCAACTAAAGGTTAGTATGGTGCACCCTGCCCATCTACTTATTAGTGGCTTGTTCATGCATCGGAAGATTTGAACCAAAGGCATGCAATCTTTAGTTTTCCATTTGACTGTGATGAAGTTCTCCCGTGATGGGTCACCGTAAAATACAACTGGATGATAATAACATTTCCAAGTCCTCTAGTCAACTCTGGTCAACAAGCACACTGTCCCTGTTTGGTATTATTGCCATTGTGAGGAATCTCATATTATACACAAGAGTTCAATGGATAAAGCACCCAACATGATCAGACGTGAACTAGTCTCAGCCTGATCACTGCCAGCTGTCGGAGTGTTACCCTGTTCAGCTGCTCTCCGTTTGAATGACCACCTTCACTCCAAGGTGGTTTCAGTATCATTTGAGATGTTTTTGCCAGTGTGGCAGCATCAACCTGAGCAGCTGGTGTCAGGTGTTATGGGTCCACGGTTAAGGGTAACGATGACATAGAAAGTTCTAGTGTTGCTGGATGCTTGCTGATGTGCTTCATAAATATTCATCAGCATTCATCATTCTTGGTGGGCAGCGTTGAGCCTGTTATATCACATGTTACAAATGCCGCCTTGATTTCTGACAGAAATTGGAGAAGCTTCTGCCGCGCAGACCGAAACAGGACCCACCTGGCGAGGAAGCCGAGGAGGTAGACTTGGTGGAGTATGACTCCCACCATACTAACTCACATAACCACCGAGGCGAGGCATACCATGAAGATGACGACGATGATGAAGCTGGAGGAGGCGGTCCATCAGTACAGTGTGCCCATCAATAACATGAGACAGAAAGACTCAAAAGGGATGTCTGTTAACCTAGACGATCAAACCTTCAAAAAATGTAATAGATGTGTGATTATTGGTAAGCGGTTAAATAAAGGGCTTGGGGGAGTGTTGTCAATCTGTGCTTAATAGAGAGTTTACAAATGATGTCAACCATGCACACGTGTAGCGGTCGAGTACCTTCAACATGGCCGCAGCATGTTAGCCCTTTGAGGACTGGAAACAGTTGTGAGAAGACTCAAGTAATCTCTCTGTAGGGCAGATTTTCCAGCATTTGTTTAACTATGAACAGAAAAAGGGCTAGGTTCACAATTATGACTTTGAAATACAAAAACCTGGCTCATTCTTTAAGTCTTTAATTGAATACACGAACCGTCGAGGTCAGTGATTCCACTTTAGACTCATTTCCAGCCACTCCACCCATAGTCTGGCATGTAACAGGCACTAGGAACCAGCCAGTTCATGCTTCATGGTGATTCATGAGCTCTCCACGCACAGTCTGAATGTAAAGTCATCTGATACAGAAACACTGGCGGCAACTTTGCCCAAGTTGAAATGTGTTGAACTTACGGAAATTAGAAGAGTGAACAATCTTGATCAGAAATTCATGTTTTTAGCATCTACAATGTGAACTGTTTGGCTAGGCTAGCCTTTCTTTGCACATATTGATTCCCAGTTGTAAACAGACTCACTAGAAATGTGAGAGCACTTGTCAGTTCTAGTCATCAATAAGCTATAAAGCAGGCTCCTCTATTGTGGGTGGAACCTATAGTCACCGTAAATTACTCCAATGTTCATCAAGTGCAAAGACAAAAGAATTTTGAACTTGAAAAGGTAAAGCACATTCTCTTCACTCATTATTTAAAAAAGACCCTGTCATCTTTTAGAATTTTTTTTAAATGATCACACAGCAGGATTTCCTTTATGCACAGAGTATATGCAGGCTGACAAGAAGGCCTCAGTGGGACCCCTAGTCCATGTAAGTTGGCCACCAGTCACCAGTCTTACCATTGTCATGCCAACTAAAGTAGCAGTCCCTTCCTCCCTGAGAAAATAATACTAAATGATAATTTTTAGTAAACAATGATGTTACCTAAAATAGACTACCCACAGGCATTCAACTTTTCAAGATACATGTACACCGATTTCAACTCTCACTGCACAGAGTTCTTTCCTGCTTGGGATATTCTTGCTTCTTGTGCCGTAGACCTGCACCTTTGTGCACAATTGACTTTTCCTGCCGCATGCACTTGCACACAATGAATGTTTACTGTCACAAAATACCTCTGTGAAGCACCTTGTAAGGTGCATTCGTACCATTTTGCCTACTCATCCCAGAGCTACTGAACAGAGAGGGTTTGGACATCTGAGCGAGCAACAAACCTCATATGTTAAACTGAGCATGTTGTAAAACTGGTTTCCAAGCTGTTGCTTCTGAATCTGCCGTCTTTAGTAGGTCCATAAAGAAAGCCAGGCTTTCACGCTGTGTGGAGTAACTTGAGCAATTTGAATGGAAAAAACAACGCAGATGTAGAAGCTCACCATCCTGCTCATTGTAGGAATGCCACATGCATCACTTCATGAAAAGCGAGGACTTCCTAGTGTGTTCTTATGTTTTAAGTCCAGGAAAATTAGTACTGGGGGATGTGGTAGCCACGTGACTGTCTTTTCACCAGCTCCTTAAACGGTCAAGCATTGTGATTGTCATTTTGTGTAGTTCCCTTTCAAAAATGTCCCAAATGCACACAGCCTGCATGCAGTGTATAAAATTATGTGAAGTTGGTTACTGATCATGACTGCGTTGTATGCATATGCATTGTACATACAGTTGAAGCACTGTGTACATTTTGTATTGGCACAGCCAGGCAGGTTGAACTATTTGAACAGAATAACTTATTTAATGTTATGTAATGTAAGGATGCTTTTTTTCAAAATCCTGCCTTACTGTAATTTGGAAAAGTGTATGCATATATGCCGCTTCTTGGATTTTTCTTTGGTAATTTTTACAAGTAGAAAAGCCAGAGCCAAATTTAAATTGTTGAGTATTAATAATTCATGTGTGTAGCCATTATTAATCATTATCTATCACTTCTGATTCTTCTCTAAGCTTGATTTGGAGCTTTAACGAAAGCCAAATAGTATTGACAGCCAGTATTGGTGAAGTTCATTTTTCAACAGTTCACCACCTGGTATTTTATCGTGTCAAAATTAAAGGGTAAAATGGGGTTGCAATATGCGATACACGTTCCCTGGGGTGATGGATGTATGGATGGATGGATGCTTGCCTCATGCTTGTTCTCATTGAGTGATGAGAGCTGTCTGCTCTCTGTACTCAACTGCAGCCTCCCTAGTAACAAGGAATGAGGTTGAGAGGACAATTAAATATCACTGGTACTTCGTGCCTGGTACCCATGCAAAAGTACTGATACATGTCCATGAAATTATTCATGTGTAGTGCATACTCTGTACTATATGCATGCTTTTAAGTGGGCTCATACACGTACCATGTGTCACCCAGATGGATAAAAGGTGGTAAAAAACCTGTCTTGGTTATGCTGGAGTCAGTAATCTCCTGCATGAAGAAACATGACAGTGAGCCAAAAGGGTATCCCTCTAAGTGGTAATTGAATAAGGTTGTGGTGTCTCTTTTATTTGTTCATAATTGTTTGGGGTGAAATTTGTCAGTTTTTATGTAATGTGAATATTAAATGGTAGGTTTGAATTAAAACAATGCTAATTCAAAATGGACTGTACTGTTGTTTACTGTTTCAGCGTAGTTGTGTATTCCAGCATTGTCAACATATTGAATCTGCCCCGAAGTACACGTATAGATCTTGAACTGGGGCGTGGCTAAGGGTTGCAAAAGAAAAACTTGGCCATCATCACATTTAAAGACATCTCACTCATTCAAGTTGTATATCCCAGGCAACACAGCCCGAGTACTTGGGGTTCATTCCTACCTCATCATCTTCAGCTTGAATTATTTTTAACTTACTGACAAACGGACTTGAAAAAAGCTCTTCCTGATGTACAGTAAATTAGTGAAAACACTGCCTCGACCACGTGGCATGGAAAATTGAAAACAACAAAACCAGTGGCCCCAGTCTATTACTGAACAATTTCACTACAATGAAGTAAAATTTGAGGATGATGGAAGAGATTTTTTATCCAAATTTAGTTTTCATGTGGGAAGAGTCAAGACAGTTGTGATACACCTGCAGGTCTGCAGTAAGAGGAAGGAACGTTGATATTCCGGACAAAGATGAATGCATGTAAATGTCGTTCACAGGCAACGAAAACACAACACTTGACCTTATGCTTACATTTATTGCCAGTATTACCTGCAAGATTTTGGAAAAGGCTTCTGTTTTTGTACTGGTTTTTGTGGTAAGACAAAATGGACCTTGTTTCTTTTGGTGGAAAAGGAATTTGCACAAGCACATCATTTTTTATTTGTGCAGTCTTCAATATCGCAATTGATTGGAGAATATAGGCCAAAATATGTTCAGGAAAAGTAAACTTTTGAACAAACTTCGTACAATACAAATATTTTAGCTTTTTTGATACATTTTCAGTCAGCATGGTAGGCCTTCACAACATTAAAGGGGACAACTTTGTCAGGCAAATTAGGACCGAGTTGCGGGGACATGTCTCTTTCCCCACCAGGTTTTTAGTCCCAACAAAATCCGAATGACAAATATTTGTCCCCAAAACTTTGGGCAAGTGTGAGTGGGCAAGTATCAAACTTTCAACCTTGTCCCCATGACATTTCTCTAGGCAAATATTAACATTCAGGTTTCATTCAAGTAAGCAATAGGCCCATGTAATGATGATGTCCAAGTTTGTTAGTTTGCATTCATAGAGCCAAGGGGTGGGGGTGGGTGTGAATAAAGTGTGGCATCAGTACAGGTCTATTGTCAAAATCTTTCTTACTTCCAAAAGTACCCCGCATGTCTGAACTACGAATATATTTAAATTAGGCAATAAATATGTCCCGAGCCGGTCTTAAATTAGTTTGAGGCCAACCAAGCACATATTTATTCCCATTCATAAATACCTCTTTTAGTCAGAGACAAAAGAAGTCAACAGATGATGGATTTCCAACTTTGTTTTAGAATTTACTTTTATGGAAATGGACTAATGCTTTCAAGATAAATTCTATGCTAGTTACAGCTGTGTATAATAAAATCTGGACTCGCAATGCCCTTCATCAGCTTATAGAGTCGTTGAATCCACTCGCGGCCATTTTACCAAGCCGAATACAAAGCTTTCCTGGCAATGCCTGCCTTTGTTCTTCCTGACGTCAATACAAGTAAGCCAACCCATGCATTTGTATTCGGCTCAGTAAAATGGCTGTCGTTGGCTTCTTTTTCATACAAAAGCGTTGCAAATCCAGGTTTTTTATACAAGTCCGTGATGCTCGTGCAACAAAAAAAAAAACATGGCAAAACTGACATGTAGATGCTGTAAGCACTGCGTGCTTGCTATGCTCACTAGAATACTCAGGTCAAGGGCTACTGCTGACGCATGAGTATAAACAGTCTTGGTTTCAAGACGTTAGTGCTTGATAGCAGGCACCGTGCATAGTGCGCCCCCAACGACTCATAATTAGACTGTATGCCAGCTCGCATAGTGAGAGTAAGTAAAAACTATGTGCGAGGGTGCTTTTCAACAGAAATAAAACAACAATCGATCACTGACGTCTTGGGCCAAGACTAGAGTATAAAGTGCTCTCAAAAGCATCAGTGTTTCACTACTTACAGCACTTGCTGGGACAGGGGGGGCTTTGTGCCTCCTGCTGGGAACAGCTTATCAGTAATTGTGCAATTACTTTTTCAAGCTTTTCTTTTACAAAATTGAATACCCCAGTAAGCAAGAAAGAGGCAGATATTACAGGGCAAGTCCATGAAAAGGTCCCCTTTTTGTCCCAAACGTAAAGTTGTCTATAATACGCGATTATCACAAAGACTTCAGTAATGTACAACTTCTCATGGTGTTTTCTATCCAGACACCCTGCAGTAGAATAAAAAACTCTGAAATCCATTCATGTCTTTGAGGCTGAAACTGTTATGCATGGGACACAAAATCATGGATTTACCCTGAAACAGACTTTGAATAAAGCATGTATCAAGTAATATTTTTTCATTTGTTTAATTTAAAATCACAAACAGAACACAGGTGCAGCTGAGATTACAGTAATAATAGTTGACATCACAGCATCTGAATAATAGAAAAATCAAAGTGATACACCCATAGAAATGATTACACAGCTGTACAGTTGAAATGCCTTATCCGTGCATGTAATCAAATCATTATTCTAAATTTGCTAAAAGGTTGAGCACCGTATGTGTCTATAATTTTTGGCAAACTAAGCAAACAAGGGGTTGAAAATTAAGACAAATTATCACGCACACATTCAACTCAAAATTTCATGGTACAACTCATTCAATACTCCATTCAAAAGTTCAAACGCTCTCATTCAAACATCCCACTCATAAAAAAATAACGATTTTTTTTTTCTACGATTACATTTGTTACTATCAGACCTCAATACCACTTGTGAATAGTTATTCAGTGGCTGTGTTCCAATGTCACTGTACACTGCCATATCTATGCAACAGGCCCTGCAGTGTTATCTTTTCTTTAAACCCACTGAGCAACTGCATCAGAATTTCCAATCAATTATATTCCTTACAGGTGGAATGGCTTGGAGGGGGTAATGCTTGATGTAGAAGGCTTAGAGTTTAAAGTTAACGCAATTTAGAAGCAACAAAAAGTCCTCTTGAGATTAAAAAAGAAAGCTGTTTAAAAAAAAACCACTCCAATAAGTCACTTATACTACCCCTCCCCCCAAACATGTGTCTGCTTTACAACATGGAGTACAGATACTATGGGCGTGGTGCTGCCATCAACTTTCATTTTGTGGCCGTTTGGAGGCTAGGATAGGAAGTTGTTGAGGTTTCTCTTGCGAATGAATAATGGACCATTGTGCTGAAGTGTGGTTTAGGCTTTGTCCCCAATCAGCAGTCCTGTGGCTATGACTTCGGTTTTTTCCCCCCGCCGATGTACTACAGTGACCAGCTGTAGCCGTAGACACCACTGTCCACTGTTGACATGGCTCTATCCTCAAGAAATGGCAAACATGGGTATGCGCACGTGCCCTGGCAAATGCTGTGTTGCGGAGAGGATTGCTGTTTGAGTGTTTAGTTGTTGCGACTTTCTTGTGCCCTCGCCAATTTCTTTTTTAACCCCACAATTGCTACAGTTAGTGTCAAGGTCCTTACAGTTATTGAACAAGTAAATGCATTGGTAGGGGAGGGGCTCAGGCCCCAACCTCCCCTTACAGAACTAATACAGAATCATACCTGACACTGAAACAATGGAAAGAGTTAAAAAAAAATTTGTTTGTTCACACCACTAGTGCATTCATCTTTACTGTGTTTTTTTTTTCCACACAGTTTGACATCCAAAAGCATTATCAAGAGATTTAAACTCGGATAATTCCTCTTGATGTCCAGAACCTGGTTGTGTGTATGTTTATCAAACTGAACAGCAGATATGGGCACTAAACCTTACCCAAACTGTCTTCCATATATTTGTGTGGTGGATTGTTACGATGGATATTACTTTTAGGTTGAATACGACATTAAATTCACTTGCATGTTTTTAAATCGAAATTCCTAATTCCTAAATCAAAATTCCTATTTCTTAAGCAGGTACTGCCTTTGCTAGGAATAAATCAGTAAAACAAAGCAAAACAGCATCTCCCAAGGTTACTTCACTTACAAAACTAGTACAAACGCACACACTGGGTAACTTCTGAGAAAGGAAGGCTTAAATATGATCGTTGAGTACTTGTATGTCTTTCATGGATGAAGTTTTGCTGTGACTAATCCTTTCAGCACCTTGCAACACTTCAAACCGACAAATATTCAAAAGTTGAGAATATGCCCATTCACAGAGTTGCTATCAAGTCATCAAGGTGTCATCAGTCACAACCAATTCACATGAAGTGTGAGAAACGCCTTCCCTTATCACTGTTCATCCAGGGCTGTTACGGTGTGACCTCGAGAACTGACTGGTGATTCAACCTGTGAATGAGCTGATCACAACTCTGCCGTTCAGCTAGGTACAGACATATTGTTTTAGGGAAGATGAAGAATTTCCAACGAGAATCTTTACCTTTGACTGTTCTTGAATACATTTCTAATTGAAGAGGCGTCCATGCACGAGTGTTAATATGGAAACAAGCTCAGACCCCGTGCCACAGAGATGAAGACTGTCATTTTCCTGTTTAAGTGTTATGAGAGGCTCTTTACTTCAACCTCATAATAGCAAGCTACACTTGTGCTTTCCTACTGGAAAATGGAGATTACTGATAAAAGCCTGGTCGCTAAACGTTTTTACAAACATCTCTATATAAACCAGAAATGTCCACACTGTTCATTGAAATGTTGTGTCTTTCTGACAATTCATTGCTTGCTACCATCTTCAAGTACATGTTTTCCAAAAATACACTTCTCTAAAATCGGTAAAATGTTGTAAACCTTGCCATATCATCACTGCCATGATTCAGTCCAGCGCTGCTGATTTTTCATTGGTTTTCAAATCCTCAATATTAACTCCTCGTAAAATAACCATTCCGATTTGGTCCTGCCTTCAAACTGCTGGATGTCCACTGTGATACACTGTTCGCCACAAGCACCATTCTAGGGTCTTCTTTCCTGATTTCATTACCAGCATTTCATCCAAGTTGAAACTGGTAATCAAACTTTTTAAGGCCCCTCCAGTTCTCCTGCAATGTCTTTCCTGAGTCTCAATGGCACTCCAGCTCCTATACACAGCCGTCTGGTTTCTCGTGCAGTCTCTCTGATCCTAGGACGTCCTTGGTAGGTCCACATCCATGTCCTTGGTCAAGAGGTCATCCTTGTTTAGATAGTGTGCTATTGTGTAGGTGGATGTCACGTCACTGCTTACCAAGATGTTGGCAATGGCTGTCCACTTTTCAAATGGAATGCAGGAACTCTGAACAAATAGAAATCAACATAAACAAAGGGGAAGTCTTTCCAAATGATAAGGCAACACTGATAAGAAGAGGTCAGAGCACCACACGGTCTTCCTGAGATGGGTCACCACTGCAGTTGGCAAGTTGGTTGGTTAGCAACCATACATCATACAGTGATGCTTATGCAAATAACCAAGAATATCTTTATCCAACTGCATAA